TATTTACATATATTTATACAGCATAAGCATAAAAAATGTAGCAGCAAAGTTGTAAGTTTGTGACTGGAGAATTCAGGGATGGGTAGAAGACTGACGATTTAACAGAAGGTCTTTCACAGGCTTTTCAGGCTTTACAATACTACCATAAAGCAAAATACATGCATTAGAGTAGTAAAATTACATTTCATATTATCTTTTTAAAAGTTACTATGATAAATCATTATCTACCTGTAGTTTCAAACTCTCTGGCCAATTGAATATTTGTAAATTGAAAATCTGTCCAAAGTGAACTCTGAAATCTGAACTTATTGGTCGGGTAACAGTCCTTGATACTTCTTTGGAGTTGAAAAGGACTTTTATAAATGCAGAGCGTTTCTTCACATCTTCTCGTCGCAAAACTTCTGCTCTGTAAATATGTCAAACAAGCTGTAATATAATTTTTAATAACATTTTTATTCTTTGGTTACTTTTAATGAGAATATGATTCCTCAAGGGAAAACAGAAGTCACCTAAATAAAGAAGGTATTTTTCTAAAAATGTCACTACATAGGCATGACTTTAATACTGTTATTTAACAGTTGCTTTATCTTCTCATGAATATAAAATGATTTTAAAACGAACAGGTCAAATTTTAGATCCACTAAAGCCACCTCCATATAAAAGTATTTATTTAGGGAAGCAAAATTTGCTTCTACTCCTTTCCTCCAAAACACAACAAATGATATCAAATTAAGAGTTTGAAGTTTTCAGTCACTGGGAGTAGACCAGCCAAGCAATATTCCTTGAACATGAATATCCTATGAATATGAAGCTGTTTGCTGAATAGGTATGAAACAAAACAGTTTTTAAATGACTAAAATCTACAAAATGTATGTTGAATTGCGTGTGTAAATGTGGAAAGTAACACTTTCGTGAGCACATGCTTCTGAAGTTGTACAATCAATCAATTAATAAATAATAGCAGAAAATAATGATAAAAGTATATAACAACACAGTAATTTGCAAGCCAACATTGATCTTACCGAGGACACAGCTCAGTTGCAGTTACGCCTCCTGACAGGACCAGTTCAGGAATTAGAGCAGGCTCTCCTGGCTTCCTTCTGCAGTTGTCAGCTTTTTCTCTAACCTGTTGCTCTATTTCCAAGCTGTTGGCCATTTTAGGTGGGATGGGTTTTACACGTTTCTCACCAAGATCACTATCTTCTACTGATTCTTCTTCTTCATTAATGTCTTTTTTCTTCTTTTTCTTCTTGGACTTCTGTATATAAAAATAATTATGTTCTTCCTGAACATGTTTCAATCAACAGACTTTTCTCTCTTTTGTTCTCTTGATTCACAAGCAATAAATATGTATGAGAAATAACTGTATAATTTTAAAATCACAACACAAGATTTTTCTCACTCTATAGTACTACTTCAGATTAAGAATTCAGCAATGCATTCCATTCACATGCTTCAAAAACATAATATGCTACAAGCAAAACATTTACTTAACCTTCCCAACCAACTTACAAAATGAGCATGTTTCTTGAACACTCTGCATAGCAGCTGTATGAATTACCCAATTCACGAATTTGCCTACTTGACATCTAACCTGTATGAATGAACGGAAGTACTACTGAAGTACTGAAAATCAATAGCAGGAAGACAATGCTCCACAAAAACATGGCACATTTTAATCTTTTAATTAGCAAATAATTTACTAAAAACTTCTAAGTCGACAGAATGCGTCCAAACACCTTACAAAATTTATGCATAACTATCCTGAAATTGATTTTCTTTCTGTGTTAGGAGGAGAGATTTTGAACACTTTTAGTAATAATTTTATTTTTTGTAAAACTGAATGATTTAAACAAACCTGTGTCTTCCTCCAGGATTTCCACTCTTGAAGCTCAGTCTTATACTCTTCCATTTTCTTTTCATATTCTTCCATATATTCCTCTAGTAACTCATTTATCTCAGCCTGAATTTCTGCTTCATATTCTTTTTCATCTAATCTCTGATCAACCTCTTCCCTTCAAAACAACATTTATCAACATATTGCATAAATTAAGGGCTACAATTAAGTCTATAATACATAACATGTCTACTTTTCCATGAATTAATTTCATTATATCAAAAGTGTGTTCTATTTAAAAATACTAGCATATATAGTCTAAAAGTTGATAGCAGATAGTTACTTTCCAGAATGAATATAATTACCTTTCCTTCACTGTAGAAATGCCTTGTCTTACAGTAATTACCTGTTATTTTAACCCTCCTTCCTCCCCAGACTCAAAAAGAACAGTGGCAGGCTCAACCAGTGCCAGACACTACTCAAATTCTTACTTTTGCACCCTTCATATCAGAATTTTAGTTCCCAAATTGCCTAATTTTATTAGAAGTCCACAGCTGGCAAATGAAGTACAAAAAGTGTTATCAAAACATACTTTCTCAAATAAAGTTTCATGGGTGTGTTAGTAAACTTCTGAAAGTCACGGAGGGATTTAATTTGTTTCCAAACTTTTATAATGGTCTTAAGCAACATTCTGTCTTTTTCTTGCTCAGCATCACGAAGTCTTCTAGTTTGCCTAGAAATATATATACATACGCACAAAATCAATCAGAATTGTATAACTCAGTGGAACAACAGAGTGAAAATTTGCGATACGAAAAGCCAAGCAATGTGGGTTTCAATTTGATTGATGGCTGCAGTAGTTTATATCCAAGAAGCATAAACCCCAGAATTGAAGATGGTAGGATTTGGTTTCCTTCTGTACTTTAGTCTTTTGCATTCTGGACAATCTGACTTCAATTACAGTTCATTCTCTAGAGATCTCAAAGTTTTCTGAAATGCTTATTACAGCTGTACATCATTAAAAACATTTTAAAGTCAATTCATGTAAACAACACTCCAGGAAACATACAGTGCTCCTATGAAGTAATGCTTATTACAATCGCACATTACAAAATACGTTTCAAACTTCACATGCTTCTAGCACCAGTAAAAAGGACCTGCAGAGATGAAGTAATATAGTAATGAATGAAGTAATGCAAGTCCTTTGACAGCCATAAAGGATTTTCAACACAAACAAAATTAACAGGGTGCTTTTTTTTGCCCCAGAATTGGGATTTAACATTTCCAGCCGCTAATCTGTTTGCAAAAGAGCTATTAATTAGTACTGTTAATGACCAACACACACTCGTGATGTAAATGTCTATGCAGCACAAGCACAGACTGTTTCCAGTACTATCCTGCTAGCTAAACATGTCTAGTAAAAATAATCTGATTAAAAAAACCCACAAAACCAAATAGAAGATGTAAGCTAACACATTACTACTTGTAATGTCCAGAGATTGTGGAAGATGGGGAAGCTGAGTTAGAGCTGAGAGAAGAAATACATCATACATTGTTTAAAGGAGTAAGCAAATTTAGTAAAAACAATAAGCAAAGATGAAATACAGACTTTCCAGAAAGCAGTATCAGTAATTTCTCCACTTCAATAGCTAGTAGTTTGAATATTACTTATTCATGCAGCTTAACAACCTTTTCTTCTTTGTTTATCAGGTGAAGCTAGAAGATGAAGCTTAAAGACATGAGGAACATAGAGGTCAGTAATTACACTTATCTAATGGATTTGGAAGTAGGACCTTTCCACAGAGAATCACCTCTGCTAAAATACATCAGCCGAAGAGTCTGAAACCTGCCATCTGCAGCATATGTTGGCTGCCTCCTCAGCAAATGAAGACAGTAGGGCTGAAATTGCTAATTTGCAAAAGTTTTCTATATTCAGATGACATTTCTTCCCCAAACGAAGGGAGAACTACAGCTCTGCTCTTCAGACAGCAAAGAGTACGCATCAGTTATGTTATCGGAGGGTTGAGGAAACGATTATTCTCCATGCAACACCCTGTTCACATCTGTAATTTCTCATGAGTGTACTACACTGACCATCGGGGAAATGCAATGTTAAAAGAGAGACTTGTCAGGTCAGATGCTTTTATTAACATGTGGTCCAAGTTAGTATTAAACACCAGGACAGTAAAAATTCCCGAGCCCATCTGAGCCTTGTATGTGCAACAGCTTCCAACAACAGAGCTGCAGCCAGAAAGAATTACAGATATGAAAAGCCCCAGAATAACTGCAGCCAAGCTCATCTCACACTATTTACACAACACTTACCTCACTGATTTCAGCTGAGTTTCTCCTGATTTATAATGGTGCGACACTAAATTAAAGCACTCAAGACCTAGAAAAACACTTAAGATATCCAGAGGGAATATTCTATCTAACTAGAATTAACCTGCAAGCAAGCCTCAGGGGTGGTGCCAAAATCCAAGAATCTCCTTCCCACAGTGAACTTTCTCATTGCTATTCCCACTGTTTCCCTGGTCAGAGTTCCTGTCTCCAAGGTACTGTAAGGTAACTGCACACCTCCTGCTCCCAGTCCTCTCGCTAATGTGTTAAGAAAATATTAATAAAAGCTACTCCTTTTTCAAAGGAAGGAAGACTTTGTCCTTCAGTATAAAATAATGCACCATATACTTCTATATGTTCTGCACAGACACCAAAGTATTACAAGACAGCACACTTGAAGGATGAAAATCTGAAGAAGCAATTCCCAAACTAAAAGCAGTGAGTGGATGTGTAAGTGTAAGCAGATGTAGATTTCAAGGCTGAAAGTAGAACTGTTATTAGAAAAAGATTTTTTAAAATACGGTATTACTCGTGAACCACTGAATCGGTCTAAACTTCTGTTTATTTAAATTAATACATTATTGTCTATTTTCAGATCATGAAAAGCTTTTAATTTTTATTAAGTATCTACTAGTTTAAAGGCTGTTCAGCATGAATGTCCAAAATAACTTAATTTTCATCATACTGCTTATACTTACAGCTCACCAATGCCCTTCTGCCAAAAATACTACTAACTTCCACTACCAAGCCAAAAACTGTAATGTATTTTTACTACCCAGTTACTGTCCATGAACAATAACTGTAGTCTTGTAAAACAAAATTCTACCATTTTCTGTATATTAAGCCTTTGGCAAAACCATGGCCAAAATACCTAAGAATGGGAAGTGAATCAAGAACACTTGTGTTATGAGGAAGAAGATGGAAAAAACCAAGAGGTTTTGTCTGTTCAAAGAATTACGTCACTTACATTGTTGTGAGAGTTTCACGCATCCAGCTGTCTAATGAAGTCTTATTTTAAAATTTAATTGTGCAGGTACACTATTTACACCAGTAGTTACTAAATAATTAGAAAAATTAATCAAATTACACCACTGTTGAATTAAGATTTCAGCCTAAGCTATATTTTCTTCATTTTTTTTTTTTTACTCAGAGTAAGAATTCTTAAGTCCTCAAAATTCTTCTAGAGCTATTTACAGCAGAATTTAAGTGTCTGACATGAATCGTATTCTGTAGCAGCATGGAAAGGAAAAACAATACAGTTCCAAAAGTCAATGATTTAACGAATCCATACCTACCTGATCTCAATTTTGTATTCAGGTATGCTCTGTTGTGCCACAGGACTAGGAACACCAGCAGCACCACCGTCTATACTACATTGCACAGCATTCCTCAAAGCATGCAGCTGAAATGAACAAGCAAACAATTACCAGATGGTTTGATATTTATGAGGCATAGAGTGTAATGCACCTTGACGTGAAAGAGATATTTACAACGTAACAGAAAACACTGAATTTTCTTGATCCTGTATTTACAGGGTTTTGCCACGTCTGTGAGGTCCTGATGACTGAAATTCTCATTAGGACCCCATGACATATGAGAGAGATTTACTGACTTTGATCACTGTGACAGATCTAAACAAGGGGACAAGACTGATCTGGGACTACTCTGAAAGCTCAGCAATCAAAGTGGTAGGAAAAAAAAAGTGAGTCTGCCAAAAAACCTCTTCTATAAAAGGTTTTCTGAGACTAGGATGGGCCACTGAAGGTAACCCTAGAAAAATAACAAAAATGAGTGGATTGTGGATTTGATGAGTGTCTTACAGAAACTGGGCACTTTGCAACAAAGCTTTCAAGGACAACATACTGCAATAACAACTGGAAGAAGCGAAGGTCTATGGACAAGACAGAACTGGAAAGAATGGTATGGTTCAAACGCACTTTTGGAGCCATCTTGTTGAGACAAGAGGCCACCACTTCAACTAAGATGTGAAGATAGGCATCAATGATTATGTGGAAGATGGACTTCTAATTCAGGAGAATGCAAAAATATGCACGGCTGTGAAGACAAGAGAATGTAAAGGACTGGTTAGGAGACGAGAGAAAAATAAGGAACAGCAGTAGGGTAGGAGCTAAAATATTAGTTATTATGTTGCTGTAGACCTCCTTACGGATAATACAGAATGTGAAACCACAACGGTTAATAGCAGTACAGGAGATGAAAGCAACTACATCCAAAGTAGAAGCAATGAAATTACAAATCAAGGAGCAAAGATTTTTGTAAAACAAATCTATCAAACTGGAGAGATGATGTAACTGGAGAGCAGGAAGCATACAGCTAAAAACATACACAAGTAACCCGAAATTGAAATTCACTGGTATAAAAAACAAATTACATTGAAAGAAATTTTGAAAGAATAATTGAACACATGGAAAGCTACTTGTATCATCTGGGGCACAGAGTCAGAAAGTACAGTTTGTTTAGCCTGCCAAAATGAGGACTGAAAGGTGATGTATTTTAAGATACTAAGAGCAAGCATCATGAGTGGATAAGAAGTCCACTGGGACATGGTGGGGAAGGAGCGGAAAATGGAAGAGGATCTGCATAGGTTTAAAAATAATTTAGCTGCAACAATCTGGACATTAAATAATGACTGTTAGAGGAGACAGGTTTCCAAAGGGCATGGAGGACCCAAACGTCCTATTTCACTCTTTTATGGAAAACTAAAAATAATACTTCAAAAGAAATGACAGACAAAATATACCAAAGAATTATTTTGAGATACAGTATGAAATATTTGTCCAGCATTAGAGATATAACCTTATGCTTTATACCAAATCCAGAAGTATCTGCACAGCACCTACTGACCCTCATTACAGTAACATAAAAATGATCTTGCACACAATGATCATTTTTCCCTTATAATAGTCCTTTAAGGTAGAGAATCATCATCACCTTTAATTTATGGAAATCTGAGTTTATATGTAGTTAATAAATCAATTTTTAACAGAGCAACCCTACTGCATAGAGCTATGTCATATCACAATATTTACCTCACATTTCTAAAGAATTGTTATCCTTTCAGATTTCAAAAGTATTTTAAAATGCTTTAAAAATATTTTTGTGTGCGCTGATGCTATCAGAACTGTACGAATCATGCCTTGTTACAACCTTGAATGCTGTCTTATGCTGTCTGCCTCTCACAGCCGCTATAAGCAATCTCATAGAGTACTATCCACTGGAAAACACTTTGGATACTCTAAAGGGGTACTATGTAAATGTTACTGTATTTTAACAATTATATTTATTTTACCTCAGAACCTGCACAGAGTTCATTTTAAATAGATCAAAGTCACGCATAATCTTAAAAATGCAGTTCTGCACTGAAACGCTTCATTTCTTCTCTTCTGACAAAACATCATTCATTACATACAATTAGAATTTCATCGCTCTACTCTGAAGAAACAAATTCAGCCTTTACCTTAAACTGTCACATCATTATCTCAGTAAGGTATGGTGATGCTACAGAAATACCTTGTCTGTGAGAAGTCTGGTAAGATTCTTCTGTTTTCTTGCTAAATATTGATCATATAACTGAGCCAGTTTGGCTGCTAACACATGCTCACGGCTAAAACAGGGATGATGGGTGAATATCAGTCCAGAAATATCAATATCCAATTGAAATGGCCCCTGAAAATCTCCAGGTCCAACGAGATATTGATTGGCAGCTGTCATTTTTATTGCCTGAAAGAAAAAGAATAAAATGGATTTACAAGCTCAAACAAAACTCTATCTTTCAAAGTGATTCTGTGACAGAAAATGATCCATTTAGCCTACATCTTGACTACTGAGCCTTAAACTGTACAGGCTTCTGTGGTAGCCTCTTCGCTTTATTGACAAGTGGGTGCCATAAAACCACACAGGTATTCTATACAACAGAATTTCAATAGCCCACAGGAGGCTGAAATAAGAAGTCATCTGCCTGTACTGCAGGTTTTGCTGAGCAATGAAGACGAAGACAATGAATTGGAAAAAGAAAAGCCTGCTCTCTTTTTACAGTTTAGTATCGCTTTATTTCCTCTTAGATCTGAGCTCTAAGACAAACAATCCAGCTCTCAGAGAGCAGCTCTCCTTGTAGACCATTTGGATTGTGCAGAAGAGGAAATATATTCTTTGCTTTCCCATTCTAAAGCCAGGCAAGTTCATACTAACAAAGCCCAATTACAGTTTTCAGCAGCAAAGCTTAAACAGTCTGCTTTGACCCACTGCAGCCAAAAGGCAATCAAGGCTTGTATCTTGAGGCTACTGAAATCAGAAGAGAATTATAGGTGCTTCCTGTCTGAACGCTGCTGCTCCCCTCCTAGAATTCTTCAGATATTCTGGTACCATAAAGGATTAAGTTGTTAGTTATGTAGTAGTCACTACAGCCCCTTCATAAGAACTAGAAAAAGTGGGATTGAGAGGGGATTTCAGCTGTCACATAGCTCTTCTACAGAACTGATATAAATGGCCACGAAACAAACTTATGTCCACCTCATTCTTCCACATTCAGTTTCTCATCAAAATGTTTAATATGACATAAACTGTCATAAAAATGACAGCTTTGAATTCCTAATGCTTTAGCTATTTTTCCACTCATAAAGGACCCCTAAGCTTAATGTCTTACTTTTAGCAATGATTTGTAAACTTAGTGCTCTGGAAACATAAGCTCTCTTGGTCTATCAGTTTTACTAAGATCTAAGCAGCAACCTCTTTTCCTGTATTCTAAAACACCCTGCACAGAACTGGGATACTGTGCATCCTGAGAACTGCATATTTGTAACCAGGATCAATTAAAGGGCAACATTCACATCTGTATCAACAGCAGCAGACAGAAACACTTCTATGTCCCAGAAGAGCAATCTACTTTCAAGTCTAAAAAGTCACAGTTTTTCCAAGAGGGTAATAGAGTGCTAACAGGCAGAACAATTAAAGCTTGCTTAAAGCTTGCTGAATGGTTTTAATTGAAACTTTTTTTGATTTATACTGACTGCATTCTGCAACTTCTGTTTGCCAGGGAGGTATGATGTGGCTGAGGGAAAACAAAAAAAAAATCCTCAAAAAACAAGATCCAAACTGATGCAACATAACTCAAAATTAGTTGCTTTCTACAGGAGTGAACTCCATGTAAAGACTTATTTTGGAGGAGTTTCAATGCTGTAAAATAACCATCATGCAATACCCTACTTTGGCATGAGAATATCCATGGGTGCCTCACAGAGACCTTAGTGACTCACACACTTGAAGCAGTTTGTCATGGACTGTCACTTTACTATTTTAACCAGTACTATCAGCTAAACTCTTTGTCCTTTTGTATGTGTTATTCTTACAGAAAAATACAGGTGGAATATAACTGAAAAAGCAAAGCACAATAAAAGACCAGTTGTGGAACCCCAGGAAGCAGTCAGCACTCATTGTTCTTAGCACAAAACCCTTCAGTTCACCAGTGTTTCTGGTCCAGAACTCAGATAGTGGGTCATGGGAACCATATATATGAAATATACCTACCTTTCCATACACTGTTTCAAGTTCTGGTGCAATGCCTTCTTCCAATGAGAATATCGGAGGCCTAGTATAAGACTGTTTAATTGGATTAGGCAATGCTAAGATTTTGCCATCATCACCAAACCACTCCTTCCCCTATAAATAAAAACATAATTCTATATTGTTTCATACTTTATATAGAAGTAACTGGCAAAATTGTAATTTTTATGAAAAGTAACTGCAGAAGAAAAGGTGATTATTAATTGCCTGTGACTGAATTAATCAAAATTTTTCTAAGACACCAAAATGAAATCCTCAAATATACTATAGGTAAGTTTTGAAATCAAAAGACCAAGAGCTTGCCCAAATTTTACATATACTGAATTTTTTCCTTCAACATTCAGTTACAGACTTGAAAAGAAAACAAAAATCAACACATCACTTAACATTTAAATGCCATGTTTTCTTAAATCACTAGAATTGAAAAAATTGTAATGTTTCACACAAGACTGCCACCCACATCTTTAAATTGGATTATAAAAATCATAACGCAAAGAATTAAAGAGCTAAATGGCAGCTCAGAGAGATAATTTATCAAAGCACCTCTCAGCTCTTCCAGTCCACAACTGGAACTAATTAAACAGCATCTATGAAAGCAGATGACGTAAGTGTCTTATACACCAATTGCTATCCATGGCTTCACGTTACACACCGTCCTGATTCACCTCTCTGCTCTTATGACCTGGATTCAAGAATAGCTTAAACCAGCACAGCTGCTGAAAAATGCTGGCCTGCCCTCTTGTTCCCACACCTGGTTCAAGCTCACCCTAGAACCAAACACTGATATGGTAACACAGTGAAGCAAACCAGAAAACATCAGTTGATGCTGGCCGGTTAAAAATATTAGACCCAAATATTCCCAATCTGATCCACAAAAGTACCTCTGCTAGCCCACAAAGAATTCATAGAATTGTAATAAAATGTAAAGGGCAACTGCTGTATAGCAGCTTAAATCTACACTGAACTATACACATCTTACTGTGTATAGGAGGATAATATAGCAGGATAAAATATATCCAAGCCACCTTCACAGGTGCTTCCATAAGTCATTTTTAAAAACCTAAAAGGATTCAAAAACCATCAGCTATACCAATATTTAATTACCCTTACAGTCAAATCAGTAAATTGCTACAAGTCTGTTACTCCGTATTATCTTCAGAGGACACAGAAAACAGCCATTTCATATTGCTTCCTTTTGTGACGATCTCTGAAGAAATAGTAACGAGTGACCAGCCCTTGCATAAGTCTTCATACAAACCACTGGTTCTCATAGCATTTTATTAAAAAAGTAAATTATAATTACCCCTATTGTAGAGAGAGCTAAACTCTGGCACAGACAAGTGAAGTGATTTATTCTTCAG